TTCCCTTATTTTCTTTTTCTCTGCTATATTTCACTCATTCACTAAGTGATTCCATCTAAACTCATTACTTAGAAGTCACCCAGATAATGATAACCCCAATTTTATCTGTCCACTCCCAACCTCTCCATAAACATCCAGATATCAAATTGATTTCCTTTCTGCAATCTAACCTACATTTCAAATGTAATATGCCAACAACAGAATTGTTATCGCAATCCATACTCTAGTCTTCTCATCTCGTCTTCCTCATCTCAATACACAGCAATACCATTAATCCAGTTCTTCAGACCATAATGCCATAAGTCATGCTTAACTCCTCTCTTCCTCATGCTCTGCCTCCAATCCATCAGCAAGGCCAACATCTAGCATGGATTTAAAAGAATGGTGTGTCCAAGAAGAACATGAATTCCCTAATACCATGATGAAATGTTATACTCATATTACCACTCACAACCCTGTTTGTATTAATTATCTCTCTCATTCAAAGCAATACAGTTTTTTTTATGTTTTTTTATCAATTTTTGAGAGAGAGAAAGAGAGAAGAGAGTGAGCAGGGGAGGGGCACAGAGAGAGGAAGACACAGAATCTGAAGCAGGGTCCAGGCTCTGAGCTGTCAGCACAGAGCCCAATGTGGGGCTCAAACTCATGAACTGTGAGATCATGACCCAAGCTGAAGTTGGACGCTTAACCAACTGAGCCACCCAGGAGCCCCAAAGCAATAGTTTTTAAGAAGATGAGAATGTCTCTCTTTGTCTATGATACAAACACTGCATGATCCACAGTAAATAGTATTTACATGATATTTTAAATGTTGAATATTGGTTTCCATTTTTAAATCATCAAACTATAAAAGACTTACTTATATTTAGTAAATGAAGTGTAAATTCTATAAACCTCGAGAAGGTGAAAGTAATGCACAGTAGGAGTTAACAGGCGGAAGTAGATGTGGAGGAAAATATGGGGACAATAAATCCCTGACTTATCCAGCAGGAAATCAAGAGGCACTGTCAAAAATGTATGGGTCAAGAAACAGAATTTTTATGAAGTCAAATAACAAAGGAATTTTTTAATGAGCTGGTAGGGATTGGCAGTGGGGAAAGAGAACAAATAGAAGTGAGCTAAATCTCTCTCATGCCACAGATAGGAAATAATAGCTATTTTTAAATTGATACATTATATGAATTGATAACACGATAGGAATATTATTTAAGACTTGGATTTAACCTCCAGAAAAACTAACCATAAAATCATTGGAAATAATTACTTCTGATGAGTGGAAACAAAGGAAAATGTATTGAACCTTACTTTTTAGTTAGCAGCCTCATTAGCGTTTCAATTTTTATTATGGCAAATATTGCTGGCCTAACAATTACATACACAAAAAATAAATATATTATTAAATAGTATAGCAAATGATCACATCTGATCTAGTTTTATGTCTGTATTTACACATGTTTATCTGAATAAAACTTTATAAAGAGACACCAGTTTTTGTTTCACTGTTGGTCAGTAGCATAAAAGATATACATGCTGGTCTAGGATCCACTATGTAAGTACAAAGATTGGCCAACTACAGTCTGGTCAAAATACGTTGATGCCAGTTTATGTAATTAATAAAAGAATTCTATAAAAAGGATCCTTCACATCTAGAACCAGAAAAGCTCACACAATGATTCACTATAATTTATCTCCTTAAAGTACTGCAGGCCCACATGCCTCCCCAAAGGGAGACACTGCTGTTTTGAACACAGTAAACACTTCCATTGTCCTAATACTACCTCTCGTCCTACTTCTATGCTTATAAACATGGCACTATTTTTACCTTGAATAATGCATGGCTTGGTGGCCTGCAATATTAAAATAGAAGTCTGTTGTGTGCTTCATCTCATTGGTGTGCCCAGTGGCCTCAATCCAGTGTCCTATTGGGAGACAATAAACACCATCCACCAAGTTGTTTTCATTATAAGTATAGCAACGGTCGTGGTGAGGTCCATTGCCTGGAACAAGAAGAAATGACAAACAGAGAAATTAAATCAATGTTTTGCTTAAACAGCCACAAAGTAGCTGATGCAAAATTAATAGGAAGAAGAAAATAAATATAAAGCTGCTTAATCTATACATTTCAGTATCAACAAAAATAGGCTACAGTGAGGGGAGAAACAGAAAAAAAAATTTGTAGAGTTACATATAAATTTCACAGAGTTCTGTGCTCCCTTTGAATAAATGCAGATTTCCAGAAGCATATTAACTCTCAGACTTTTATGGTTACCTCTCACTGCCCTAACTGCCCGTTGTGAGTCATTTTACAGCCTTTTTATCTTTTGGTATGCAAATTCATAACTAAAATCAGCAATAAAGCATTTTAGTATCTCAAACAAATGAATTTTTTTAATAAATACATTAATAAATAATAAAACAAATGATCACATCCAACCTACTTTGCATGTAAATCAGTGGTTAGTACTATTTTCAGATGGGACACATAGTATCATAGAGATTAGCTACCTTGCCCAAGGTCATAAAACTAGTAAATGCAGCACCAGTAGCAAACTGATACTCCTAGTCCCCCATCTCTCAGGCTCCTGTTCAGGACCTTCATCCTGTTTTCTACCTACTTCACAAGCACCAGCACCGCCACCTTCCTTCCATTGAGTAAACCAAAAGAGACAGAGGTGGAAGAACATGTCTCTGAAAACACTATTTGTCTATATCACATTCTGCCCAGTATCTACTACACTAGTAAACAGATCCTTTATTTCTATGAAAATTACAATTCATACATTACTTCTATTCACCCTTCTTATGTGACCACCCTATTTCAAATCATGCCTTTCCTTAAACAACCTAGTTTCCATATATTGTCTTTAATAAGAAAAACATGTAAGCAAAATAAACATAGGAATAAGTCACATTTGTTACAAATACGAAAATCTGACTCATTTGTTCTTTTCTCTCTCTTACAAAACATTTTACCTAAAGTTATTTGGCATAAAATGTCAAAAACAAAAAGTCCTTAAGTCATCGGGCAATTCTTTGGGATATAATTTCCACCCCCCAATCCAATATAAGGTACAAGACAGCTCCTTTAATAAATCATCACTGATCTTCTTAGATCAGACTTCTCTTTTTCTCTTGATGACTACAAGGCACTACACCAATTTCTCCTTTACCCCTGATATTTAATAGATGAGAAACAAACCATACTAGCAGCCCCATTTCTAAAAATATATCAAATAGAAATATAACAAGAGTAAAAAATGATATATAGAGATACATGTATTAACAATACTATTTTAATAGCAAACACTCTAAACTATGTAAGTTCATCTATTCATTTTTCCACAAATACTTACTGATTGTCAAGTACACAATCCACACTATGCTAAGTCATGTTAAGGATTTGGGTATTTACTGTAAGAGCAATAAAAAAAATGAAACATTTTAAGTAGGCTGGTAACATGACCAAATTTTTATTTTGAAAGTATCTCTCTTGTTACAGAGTAAAAAATTAATTCAAACGCAATGAGATTAAAGCAGAAAAAGTCCATTTAGGAAAGGACTTCATTAGCCCAGGCAGGAGATGATGAAAGCCTGGAGGTAGAAAAGGGAAGGAGTGGGCAGATTCAGGAAGGAAAAGCCACAGGAATGGTGGATTAACTGGGTATGGGAGGTGAAGGAAAAAGGGACTCTAGGCTTCTGGCAAATATAACTCAATATATAGTTGTACCACTCATTAAGATGTGAAATCTGTAAGAGGTTGGAAGGGAAGATCACTAGTCTGGTTTTTGTATGGGCTTGAAGTGCCATTTAGATACAAAAGAAGCTGTCACATGCAGAGTTGGCATAATTGGTTTGACACTCAGACCAGAGATCTGAACTAGAAAAATAAGCTTATGAGTCATCGACGTGGCAACTGAGGCAAGGAGATAGATGAGTGACAAAGAAAAACAATATTGATGTAGAAGAAAAGGTTTCTAGAACAAAGTCTGAAAGCATCCCAACATTTAATAGCTAGATAGAGAAGGATAAGCTTACAAAGGACGTACAGAAATAAGTTGGAGAGAAAGACCAGGAGTGAGTAAATGAGGTGGAAAAACATGAATAAAACTGTAAATAGATACTAAAAACTGGGTGAAACTGGGTCTGACTGTTAAAGGTAGTTACATCTGGAGAATGGAGTTTGGATGGGGAGGACCATTTTACTCTAAATTATTGTGAATTCACTGGATTTGTCACAGACCACAAGTATTACTTTTTGGTTTAATAAAGGAATAATACCTATGGCTCCCACTGTTCAGTACAGTAGACTTACAATTTAAATATTACAAATTAAATAAATACAATTATTCAGGAGTTCAAATATACATAAATTAAAATATTCAAGAAAAATCATTTACATAACATCAACCACCTCATCCTTATAAATTAACTTTTGGAAATACTCATTTTTACACACACGTTTCAGGAGAAGTAACAAAACATTTCTATTTCTTTCACCAAGAAGGTATCAGTGGAGGCCACTAGAAAGCTGGGACTCCCACCATACTCAGTAATAATAAGGTCAATCCCTTCAGTTGTCAATGGATGGGGAATCTGGGTAACAAGGCAGCACTCCCACCCTCCTAATGGAGAGTGTTAAAGGAATCCAGTTAAACCCAAAGATTTTAATAAAATCCAGAGTCACATTACATAATTCTCAAAATGGCCACATTTCAACAGAAAGTCATTCCTTACATCAAATATCACAAAGATCTCAAGCTAAATAAAAATTTTAAATACTTGAAAGATGCCAACATCAAAATGACAGAGATGTGAGAATTATCTGAAAAGGATTTTAAATTTCAACAACCCATTAGAACACATTTGAAACAAATGAAAATATTAGAAAGTCTCTGCACACACACACACACACACACACACACACACACAAAACAGATGACGTAAAGAAGAACCAAATGGAAATTTTAGAACTGAAAAATATAACAATTGAAATAATAACCTCAGTGGATAAGCTCAAGAACACAATGGAGCAGACAAAAGAAAGAATCAGCAAGCTGCAAGACAACAGAAATTAATCAATCAAAGCAACAGAGAGAAAATAGACTGAAAAAAAGAACAGATTTAGAGACCTGTGGGACAGCTGGGTTGTTTCTAGGTTTTGACTATAATAAATAAAACTACTGTAAAATAAATAAAATTGCTGTATACATCTAACATTCATGCAGTTGAATCCTGAAAAGAGAGGAAAGTGTGTGGCTGAAAAATTCTTGAGAAAATAAGGTCTAAAATCTTTCCAAACTTGCCAATAAACATAAACTACAGATTCAAGAAGCTAAGCAAATTCCAAACAGGAAAAATAAAGAAATCCATGCCACTACATATCATAATTAAATTTCTGAAAACTAAAAACAAAGAAAAAATCTTGAAAGTAGCCAGAGAAACTTAACAATTTAGGAGAACAATTCAAATGTGAGTAGGCTTCTCAAAAGAATGGCTAATAGACGATCTATAAACAGAAAAGAAATCACTGAACATCAGGAAGGATGAACAGAATAAGCAAATATAGGAGTAAAAACAATAGACTTCCCTTCTCCTCTTGAGTTTCTAACAAAAATTATAATGCTACCTGATATGGTTCTACATGTATAGAGAGAAAATATTTAAGACAATTCTATGAAGAAGGGGAAAAGGATAAAAAGGAAGGTATGATTTCTCCACTTTATTCAAACTTGCAAAATAATGACACCATCAACTATAATAAGTTATGTATGTATGATGTATGTAAATAAAAATAAAATTCTAAAAAATGTTCAAATATGTACTATACATGGCATATAAAGGTAGGAAAAACACATGGGGAGAAAAAAAACAGAGAAAACTAAAATGAAAAAGATAAAATGACAAACTTAAGTCCTAACATAACCAATAATTACATTAAAGTTAAATAGGCTAAATACACCAATTAAAATAGAGTGGCAGAGTGGACTTTAAAAAAAAAAGAACCAATTGTATGATATCTAGAAGAAACTCACTTCAAATTATATACAAGATGGAAAGTAAAAGTGTTGCAAAAGATATACCATGTAAATATTAATCAAAAGAAGGCAGAAGTGATTATGTTAATATTATTTAAGTAGAACCTTCACAGCAAAGAAAATTACTAGAGAGAAGGAAATTATCTGATGTTAAAAAAAACAATACTACACTGTTTAACTAACTTGAATTTAAATGAATAAAAACAAATCTTAAGTATCAACCTATCAAGAAGCTATAAGAATTCTAACGTGTATGTACCAAAAAATAGAGTTGCAAAATATGTGAAACAAAAACTAAGACCATTAAATGGAGAATAGACAAGTTGGGAATTATATTGGAAATTTCAACACTCTCTCTCAACAATTGATATAAAAACTAGGAAGAACATCAGCAAGGAATAAAATAACTCAACAACACCATCAACCAATGGAATTTAATTGACATTTATAGAACACACCACACAGTAATAGCAGAATGCACATTTTCAAGTGTGCACAGAACATATACCAAGCTAAATCATATCCTGGACCATAAGATAATCTCAAAACTTTAGAATTAAATCACACAAAGTGTTTTCTCTGACCTCAATAGAATCAAACTGGAAATCAATAATAGATAATGGGAAAATATTCAAATACTTGAAAACTAATCAACATATTTCTAAATAATCTATGGGTCAAAAAGGAAATCTCAAAGGAATTAAAAATACATTGCAATGAATGAAAACTAAAATAGTATGTATCAAAATACTATGTGTGACATAGCTAAAGCAGTGCTGTGAGGAAAATTTATAGTCCAAAAATGCATACAGTAAAAATAGGAACAGTTTCAAATCAATTATCTAAGCTCCCCCTCAAGAAATTATGAAAAAAAGAGCAAAATAAATCCAAAGCAAATAGAAGTAAAGAAATAATAAAGATAAGAATGGAAATCAATGAAATTAAGAACAGAAAAACATTAG